AAATTTTACAGGGTCAACTCAAAACTGTGCACATGTTGTTAAATTGGGATACTTTCAGAAGCCCATAGCAGTCAATTACACTGTATAGCCATTTCAACGAATTCAGGCCCTCTTACCGGATCCCAGATCCTTTCCCTTCGTTTTGGCAGGGCACGAAAAATCTCCACAAATATAATCTACAAATATAATCTACAAATCTTCACACATATTTGTAAATGTATAGAGTTTTATTTTTTTTTATCAAAAATATTAAGTAAAGTGCTCAATGACGTGATTAGCCAGAGCAACGTGTAATGTCATAAATTTTAGACAAACCACTATGTATTCATGATATGCATATTTCTAGACAAAATTGTATTTTCTTAATTCAGCTGGTAAGTACGTGTTATCCTCTTGGGCCATATGAAAGCATTTTCTTGAGAAATGTACAGTAGCCTGGTTATTAATAGTTACAATCATTTATTCTAATTGGGCTTCCTGTGCTTCTAGTAAAAATAACAATCTGACTTAAAATCTTGAGAGCTTTCTATTCCTGTCCAGAAATTGTGGAAATTACATAACATAGATAAACCTAAAAGAGAAGAACATATTAGACTAATTCAACAAGAATTAGAAATAGGCCTCATACAGAAAAGAAATGACCTGAACATCACATATATTGAGACTAGACAGGTGCTCATTACAACAAGTGTCAATAAAAACACAAAATGTAGTCTTAGCAGGCCTCAAGCATACAGGAAAACCACTTTTTGTTTAACTGTGCATGTGACATTGCAAACATTTCAATTAATTTCTGCACAAGATGCATTTTRTTTATATTTATGCCTGTTTTCAGTATAATTTCTAACTTACTTTGATTTCAGCACTGTGTATCATGTATGGGAATTCCTTGTAAATAATGTGAACCATGTTCAAGCTACAAATGTATGSCAGCCTAGAAATCTATAACAATGTACATATGGAGGAATTAATATTGAGATGKAAACTTATCATATCCTATCACTAGAGTACTAAAAACAATGAAAGTGCATAAGTAGAAAAATACCACTTTATGCTCTTAAATTGTACAATTTCTGTTTGTATAGCACTAACTAGTGTATCAGAGGTTGGGACATAGATATACCCTTCCTCGTCACTTTTTTTACTGGGCTAGTATGAAGCATTATATAGTAAATTTTTCAGGCCAAAAAATAAATTAGCAGACCAAAAATTAACCATTTGTGTCTTACAAGCTCAATACAGCTATTTCAAGAAATGCTGTCGGGGAGAACGGCGAARGGCGAATGAAGATTGCACGACCGAAAGGGACTATGGTTACACTGTTTTGATAAACAAAATTTCACTAATGGGATTCACCCTACATAGAAATGGAGACTAAATGGAGCCAATGTTTACCACAGACTATCTTACTGTATAAATCAGTTGCTATTTCCTTTCACCAAGCAAACCCATGGCTACTTTCGGTCGTGCAATCGACGTTCGACAATTGAAATTCGCCATTTTATCCGAAAAACTTTTTTGAAATAGCTATATCTTAACTATGAGGAAGAGTTTCTCATGAACCTTAGAAACTGCTCATTACCAACTCAATGATATTATATTTAAATTAAGTAGCTGATATCTTTTAATTTTGCCATGCCTACCTTGTAGGAAATGTTTTAAGCAAAATTATTAACACTCACATTAGGACCATTAGAGTACAAACACTTATAAAACTGTGCAACATAAATACCACTAAAAACACTGTTAAATCATGCTAATAATTCTATTGTTTTATAATTAAACACTTATTGTTTTATAATTAAGCTTAAACACTATTTTGTAGTAAATAGTGGAAAGTGTTGAACACTGTTTGTACTCTATTCTGTATGAGCAAAACAGCAAGACAAATTGTATATATAAGTTATATTATCTGAACATTGCTACACCAAAAGGGCTGCACTTAAAGCTTAATACAAATAACCAGCTTACCTGACAACTAGAGACTTGCTTAAACTCCCACCAGGCAATATTATTTTGTTCTGTACTTTTTCAATTTTCTCATCCATGAAAAAGATATTTCCTGCACGGTTGTGTGTTATACTGTTTATATCTTCCAGGTTAATGCAAGCTTTGTCAGCTTTTTACACAGTGTGACTTGATCGAAGGTATCGTCCCCAGAATATCACAAACAAATCATATGCCTAGAGAGCTCTTTCTGTCCATCTTGTTTAAAGAAATACTGCAGTACCTCAGATAGACGTTAAGTTCACTTAAACTCACTTCTATTGCCATATTTTTTTATGAAAACCATCGATCTACACCGTTCATGCCCGCCATTTTGTTTGCTTGTGAACGCGTTGCCAATGCCAGACCCCTCTCCTGGGTGGGAATGAATTYCAAAATACCCCTCCCCTACTWGGGTATAGCATGTGACGTTTTGATTTTCCAATTTGCTTTTATTTAAAATTTGAATTCTTTTTTTGCTTTCGAACGATTTAAATGAAAAATGGATCGAACTTCAAGTATTTATTAAMTCAACTCGATAAAAAAGAACGAGTCGAAGATAAAAAAGAACTTTTTAAAACTCGAAAAATGATTTTGGCAGCCATTTCAAATTTCAATAATTTGAATTTTGAATGAACGAAACGCCCACGCATCCTGCCTTTCCATCTTATCTTCGACACATTTTAACATGATTAACTTGATTGACAAAACGTAGTCTTGTTCAGATTTATTGAAACTTCGTCAGTATATCAATGTTATGTTATTAAGAAATGATTCTGAAAATTTTATTACAATCTCTGCGATGAGTTTCGAGAAAATTAATTTTGAAGAAAAATGAAGGTGTTTTTATTTTGCATCGTTTATCCAAATGGCTTCGCTTTTTGGCAAATTAATTTATCAACAAGAATTATCGATAATCACTGTGACRTCTGTGAAAGTTTGAGTGCAATTGAATCGAAATTTGCTGAATATTGATTTTTTTTATTATTATTGTTAGRTTTATCGTTATTCCTCGGAATTTCGGTTTAATCTTTTACAAAATCCCGGAAAAGCGCATTGATTTTTTGGGGCTTTCGATCTGAAGAATAAATGTCAGCTTTTAACGCAAAATATGTCAAAAACTGAAAAATTAAAAAATTAAAAAACATGTTAATAATCAAATAAAACTAAAAGAACAAATGAAGCTATAATGAACGGTATAAACATTTGTTCAATATCTATTGTTCTAATGGTCAGTTTCAGAGTTATAACTACATCTTTAGCTGTAAGTCATGTTTTCTATTTTCTGATTGATAGTTGAAATGCARATACACAGATCTAAGCAAAGAAAGACGCCAATTCTTGCCAAATTCACCTCCAATTAACAAGAAAATGTTGATCGCTTTGGATGATTTGGATGATTAAACTGTATGGAGGAAGTTCATTTACCAGCTTTGTTCGTTTTCGGCTTTGCTTTGAATACAATTGGTCAACAACATTTCCTGACTCATTCATACAACAATTCCAAAAACGAGGATATTAACGAAATCAAAGGTGTTTTTTATCAGTACAACTTGCCCTTCAAAGAGTACACTGTTTCATCCGAAAATGCAGTCTGCTAATTTTAACAACACGTCTGCATTCAACAACAAACAATTTTCTCTTAGTATCTGCAACTCCATTGGAGAATTAAAAAATCCACATTTGGCAACGCCTGCCTCTCTCAAAGCTTCCCTCGCAGCTGTAATAACGACTGGAGCCGCTTGTCCTTTTGCTGTTGTTCTCAACTCTTTGGTTCTTTTAGCATTCTATAAGAAACCATCNGTATACATGGAACTACGTAGTCTCTGATTGTCTTATTCAGAATCATCAGTGTTTTCACCATATATGGCTGTTGTCATGGTGCCCAAAAAATCATCAATTCCTTTGAACTGTGATGTATGTGCATAGCCCCTTGGTTCTCGGCAATTTGGGCAAGTCTTCTCCAAACCACCATCTCCTTCATACCATTTGTTTACACAGGCAGAGCATCCGATCAAGGTATTGCAACACTTGCCAGCTACAACAGGGGCTTTCATAGGCGATGAATGGCAAATTTTGCATTTAAAGGTATCTTTGATACTTTTCACTACACTTATGGGAAGCTTGATGGCTGAAGTTACTGTGGTTAGGTCTGCTAGTAACACTTTGATGTCATTGATCCCAGCTGCTATTTCCTGGAACATATTTTTCATTGGCTTAATTCTCTTGTTGTCTTTCGAGGGCTTGTGCTGTGTATCTGAACCATCAGACTCATCACTAGTTGACAAACTGACTGTAGGTCGAGTACTTGGCCTCTTCCTTGATGGTGCTTTTATTGCATAGATTTTCCTACTGGCACACTTCCAAAAGGAAGAACCTGAAATAATATCAATGAAATACATTTACCAAGAAATTTCTATAAATAGCAAATAGTGAGAAAAATAACAACCATTACATATATTTTTTTTTCATCATCAAGAATCATATCTGTAAAGATTTCCATTAAAACTTATTGGATATTCTTTAGATTAATTTGTGTTATGTAGAAAACAATATTATTTACAAACCAAAGAAAGGGATGGACCATTTGACTTTTGAGGAGGGTGGGGAGGGGGGCGGGCGGACTCTCACTGAACGACCACTCTCGTTCCTGATCCCGAGGTGGTCGCTTATGAGAGAGTTGACTGTACTTGTCATTTTGCTTTAAAGCTTGGCTAAATTGATCCCCAAAACATTACTTTAGAACAACCAGGACTGATTCAAGGACTAAATTATCATTTTCAAGGATCTTTCCTCCAAATTCAAGGTCTTTTCAAGGAAAATTTGCAATAAACTTTTCAAGGACCTAGCTCAAAAATCAAGGACTTTTCAAGACTACGAACGAACATACATATACAGACATAGGGAATATTAATAAATCACATTATAATCTATGAAAGTTTTCATGAAAGCTGTTAACATTTAGGCGTTTGAGTGCCAAAGGCACGATATATGGTGAGAAAAATTGCGCTCCATGCGACATGTTTGTGTTCTTTTGATCCCGGGTTTGATAACTCACTGAAGTGACTACACGTTGAATTAGTTTCGAATTAGTTTCATTAAAGTAAGTGATATTTTTTCTCGCTTTAAGGGAAATGTAAGTCTTAAATTAATATTTGACGCTCGATAAAAGTATTTTTCTGTACAGTAAGCTTAAGTTGACCTTGCACTTCAACAAAACGATTTGGCGGGAACKGGCTTTCTAAAGAAAATTACAAGTCTGCCATTAAAAATAAAGCTTGTTAAACATCTAATCAAGTTATAGTTATTTCTTAAAGTTTCTCACCTCGTGTGCCTGGTTCATCTTCGATAGGAAGACCGTTCCCAGCTACAAGTATAACGTCTTCCCCAAACTTTACTTTTGCCTGGGCTGTCACATTTGGTAAATTTGCCGAGTCTTCATCAAGAGTGATGAACGTCTGTTTGACGGTTGTAAATTGTGCACCTTTTGCATTTTTCTCCATCATCGAGTACACAACCTTACACGAGAAGTTGGATTTCTTACTTGCAGATCCCCAGTAACTTTTCGGAGCTGATGTAATTGWAGATGGGCCTGAAACAGCGGCGGCTCTGTTTGTTGGCGTATATGATAGAGAAGGAAGGGGAGCATTTGTAGACGCCTGCTCACGGTCATTACCCATCACTTGGAGGGAATGCAGTAATAAATCGTTATCTTGCAGATGCTGTAGGTTGAACCTTCCGGCCTCATTTGCCCAATACGAGAGATCCCCGAATTCCTCTTTTAAGTACAGAGTCTGAGGTTCAACCTTGTAAAGATAAAT